CTAAAAGTGCATCAACTTGATCACCAAGAAGATCAACCTATTTTTTAAAAGAAAAACTTCAGATTTTGAGTGGTGTCCAATGATTACTACCATTTGCAAGAAAGTGAATAACCAGAAATATTAGGTCAGTTTGGTCTGAGAAAACGTTTTCTGTTCCTGTTTTCATTCTTTGTTTCTACGTTTGCAAAATGTCATTTTGTCTTGATTTAGTTGCTTGTCCTCAAAATCTTGTATTGGAACAAGTGAAAACAACTTTCTAATGTTTTCTGTTTTCAGTTTTTGCTTTCAATGTTCCAATACAAACATTTGAAAACTAAGAAAAAAGAGTGAAAAAAGTGGTATTTTTGTAATCAGAAATGAAAACAGGAAAAATCATTTCTCAAACCTAATCACCCCTGAAATTTTTGATGAATGTACAAAGTTTGAGACTATGATACAGACCTCAGCTTCAGCCTTTTGGAGATTCTGGCACCTTTTAACGAAAGCCTTCTGATAAAGTAATTCCTTGCTTCTGAAGCAACCAACCAACTCAATAAGAGGATCCAAACAATCTTTCATCTTTTCCAATCTGTATGAATAGTTTGAGAAAATGCAAGAGGAAGGTAAAATTATATAATAGGTAGATGGTATCCGTGTGAAAAATACTGATGAACAATGATGGTGAAATACCTCACAGTCATCATCTCAAACTTCTGGCATATCATTGGCTCGAATTCTGCAAATGTTAGTAAAAGATTCAAAAGGGGCATGAAAGCAGTGGAAGACAGCCTCATTTGACCTTCTTCATTGTTTGACATTTGATTCTGAAAACTGTTTGAATCTCGTAGACTGTGGCCTAAGCTGGTGCCTAAGTGCCTCAGAAGTGCCTTGCTTATACCTAATTGTTGCAACACATTTTCTACCTTGCTGGTCAGTGAAGAGAATGTTTGTTCTTCTCCAGTTATCAAATCTTCAAATATTTCATGCTCATGTAGGTCTCCACGTTCTGAACCCAAGTCTAGTTGCCTGCATTGTTCCTTGATCTCACACTTTGCACTTAGCATCAGATTCTCCTCTGCCTCAAAACAACTAAGTAGAGACTCTAACAGCATAGTTGTCACGTTCTCTTCTCCCTCAGCTTTCCAAAGTTGCTTTAACATCATAGAAGAGGTAGAGCAATCATCTTCCATGGAATTGTCTTCAACCAATGAATTAACTTCCATGCTCAAGAAAAAGGCATCATTCAATGTTTCAACCATGACAACTTGGTCTACCTTCTCTCTGATGTAATTCTCCATATGGTAGTCATCTAGTTCCCATCCCCATTCTTCAACCATGACTTTGAATACAACCATGCAGACATCTTCCTTCAGAAAATTTTCTACAGCCATAAACTGCAACTGATCCAGAAAACTTTTCCTATTTTCTCTATGCTCCTTTGAAGCAAAACTTGCAATATTGACAAAGTTTTTCAACGTTTCACTGAAGACAATCTGATGTATCTGTTCTGTTATGACACTGTCTACTTCACAATCTACCATCTTTTTGTTGAATTCATCCACAGTTTTCCAAATGATAAATATGGATATATCCTCACTTATAGTGCTATTTATTTTTTCATCTACTTGCTTACTACATGTCAAGCACTGTAAACAACTTTCCCTAGCTTCTCTGTCATGCCCTTTGATTAAGGAAAGTTCTTGATTTGCTGCCTCAGACAAGAAAATCAGATTTATGTCATCTCTGATCTTTCTTTCAATTGTTTGTTTTTCTATGTTCTCATTCCACTCATTGATTACTTCCCTTATGTAACACTTACATACATGCTCCTGTATTTGCTTCTCCAACTCAAAGTTGAACAATTTTCTATTGAAATCTTCTGCTTGATCATCTACAGAGCCAGACACATTTTCAGATTTCAAATTTTGATCTGCGTTAAATTCCTTGTCTCTTGGTGACACCATTTTTAATTCCTCCTGTTTTTTATTTTCAGCATCACAAATTTCTTTTACCTTTTCTTCAGAACTTCTCTGACTTTCAGCAGCCTTGCTTGTATGACTCTCATCTACTTCTGATAACTGCCTCAATGCAAACGGTTCTGTGTCATGAACACATCTTTGCTTGAAAAGAGACTCACTAAGTTTAACATTCCGATATATAAAATTGTCCAATTTTTCAGTGACAACATGGATTCTTTCTTTCACACGATTCAGTTCCCTTCTTCTCCTGGAATATGAAGCCTTTCTTTCTTGAAATATTCCATGCTTGCTCAAATTCAGTTCTTCACTCTTCCGGCGAATAATGGACTCGTGACTCTTTATCAACTTTGCGACATACTTGCTCCCATCTTCATTTTCTTCATCTTCTGCAGACTTTTCTGTCTCTTCTATCTTTTGAGAGAACCTGTTAGGCATTTCATGACTTCCTTCAGGGGAAGAAGGCCTTGTTGGGGAAGAAGGCTTTACTGGGGAAGAAAGTGATGAACAATCAGAATCCTCAGGATATATGTCATAGAAAGAGGAAAATTCATGCTGCAAACTTGTAAACTCATTCATCAACCTTGGCCACTGCTCCTTCCAAACATTGACAACATGATTCTCATCTTTCTTCACTTGTTCTTCAATGTTCTCTTGGAAATTCCTTATGGAGCTTCCAATTGATATAGACATCACATCTTTTTCAATTGCCAACTTCCATTCCCTCTCTTTTGGCCTCATCTCGCACAAGAAAAGGGCAGATTGCATCTTCCCGAAAGCAAGATCCATAGTCTCCTTCAGTATCTCAATGTCAGAACCCATCTCTTCAACCTTTTTCCCACCAACACCATTGTTTTGTACCTTACTAAAGATTTCATGCTTTTGTTCATCCTCACCAGTCCTCAACTCACAAAAACCTTCATCACCATCACCATCTTTATGCTCATTTCTTGTTGTTTGATCATTCTCAGCATTGAAACTACTTGTTTCAACCTCATGGCTAACTCCCAAAGCAACTAATTGTCTTTCTTTCATCTCTAAAGCATGCCTAAGTTGCAACTCATTTTCTAATCTCTGTATCAACTCTTTGTCCTTCTCTACTATGGCTAATTCCGTTTCCTTTAAACGCCATTGGAGGCGGTGTTTTATGTCTCTCAAGTCATCAAGCACCTCTTCATGGTTGCTCTCAAGAAAGCTGCTTTCAGTCTCTGCATGAACAATGCTTAGACATCCTTCAAGTTGCATCACTGCTAACTCATAGAACTTTGATATCTCATTCAACCGCTCTAGAACTCCTGTTTTCCCCTTCATCTTCTCCTGAGCTTTGTTCATGGCATAGTGCACGATCCACATCATGGTAGAATCTGCCAAAGATACATCATATCTTCCATCCATACATTGAAAAATCCCATCCATTTTTCGAGGAAATGCACACTACACAACAAACCCAGTTGAAACTTTATCACAACAATAACAAGGTAGTGGCATAAATGCTACAGAAAATTCATCAAACAAGGTGAAAATGCATAAACTGAATGCAAGTCAAAGGGAATGTAAATTTGATCTGAAATTTCCACTAAAACGGGTAATTTTGACCCTTTCAGGAACTTTATGTGGTAAGCATGTCTCTAGGCATTCTTTAAGGAGCATTGTTCTATGAAATATTTATAGATATGTGGCTCTTTGTATTTATTTATATAAAGCTCCAAGAGAAGTAAAATAACAGTGCAAGAAAATGTAAAGAAATTTTGTCAATGCTTTTAAATATGAACTGTTCAATTCATCAATAAGTTGTAGTTTGCAGATACCACGGTAAGATATACATATAAATAGAAACTTTTATGCATCCTACACAATTTTCAAGGAAAAAAGTAATGATGATTCGAGATACTACAACTTTAAAAAATGCCTTTTACCAATTGTACTTGAAAATATTTTTGTTTAAATATTTAAATTATATTTAGATGTGTTAAATATAAAACTTGTGTTGAATTAGTTAGAAATTGATTTAACTACATGAATACCATTTGTAAAGGATAAGGTAGTGAATAAGATTGACGAGAAAATTAAAAGAAAGGTTAGTTATATTTTTGGATCTTCTAATTTTATGCATGGGGAAATTTTGGTGTTTCCAGTTTTAATTACTCATTTTCTGTCATTTATTATAAAATAAAACAATAGCTGATCTCAGTTTTAATTACTCCAATTTGGTCCACACATTTAAAAAGTTGGTAAATTTAATCATGTTAGCTACCAACTAATTTTAAACATATGTGACGACATGTTAAATCCATAGAAGCATGAATGCTATATTAATTATTTAATTCATAAACATTAAATTATTTAATATACAATATAAAATTAAACAAACAAATAGTGTATCTTTAACCAAATATAATTATTACGTTGGTTATTGGCCAAAGATAAATTTAATTAAAAAAAGTTCCCATTGAAGAAAAAAATAAAGAAAAAAGTTAATGAGAATTTGTTGAATCTTATACAGAGTAGTTTTGACTATTGATACGAAAGGAAGATTGAGAATCTACTTGTACCAACTTTTTCCTATGAATTTCAGAAAAGAAAAATATATAAATTTAAAACAAATATTTGGAGAATTATTTTAAATAACTTCTTTAAATTAGTGCATAAATTAATCAGCTAATATACATTTTGTCTTCTTATTTTTATTTCTTGGAAATTCTTATAGAAAAGTTGGTTGATCTTTTGCCATTTAATTGTTTTGGCTTTTTACAGGGAAAACAACACACACAATTACTATACTTCGACTTTCTGATTTTCTTCCAAAGCAAAGGTAGAAATGAATTTTGTTTTTCTCGTATTGATAAGTTTGAAGCATATGTCAATGTTCCTAACATTATGGCTGTGATCATAATGAGGTCAATTAATTATTTATTAAATCACCTTAAAGTCATTTCAATGAAAATAAAAAAAAAATATTGGTTTTACTAAAATAAAACTTGTTTTATTTTCTATAAATTTTTATAGAGAAATTCGTCCAAACAAACCAATATGAACAAAGAGATAAGAGGGAATATGGATCAAATCTCACCTCCACCACTTCTTTTCAAGAAAAAAACTTATATGCTACTTAACCTACATTAATTAATCTATTTAATACCCTTTGGCCTTTTAACACTCATACAGCAGAATAATTGTATAATAATATCTAAATAATTGTAAGAAAATCCATAACCAGCTGTACAAAATTTGATCATTCTACTTTGCACAAATTGTCACCAAGAGCATGAGGACAGAGCAGAAGCGCAGCCATGTAGCTCCTCATTTCTCATCAAAACAAGCTTCAAGAGAAAAACAGAATTGTGATGACAACAGCTCCAAAAAAAATGCAAACTCAATGCACTTTGACATAACAAGAAAGGAAAAGGAAAATGGCATAGATTATCCAAAATAAAATATTGATCACTAGATAAGTTAAAATGTACACATTGAAATTAAAAGCAAAGGCCAAATTTGTTCTCCTTTTTATTATCTTTCCATAGCAAACGGAAGAACACACACATGTGTATAATCCAAAATAAATTGTGGACCAACTTTAGATGAAATTGAAGAGGTGATAAACACAGGTCCCTTACAGCAAAACAATACTTACATGATCAGATCATCCAGAAAAGTTTACTGCAGAACCCCATCCACAGAAAAACAAATATAAAATATTTCAATTTGGAAATCAGCTAAACCAACTACTGATGTTAAAACTCAATCCTAAATTATACAAATCATGGTAAATCCATGAAAGTGATATTAAATTCAATCCTCAACAATATAAATCATCATAAAGCATGGAAAGTGAATTTTTCTTTGATCAAAACAAGAAAAGAAGTGAGAGAGCTTAAGAGAATAGTACGTATCATGGCTACTAATCCTGGCTAGTGGCATTCTGCAGCCTAACCTAAAACTGCTATGGCGGTATAGTGGATCACCTTGAAAGATTGTAGATACTAAAATATAAGGAAATGTTTACTTAAAATTTTGGACACACATCATTAAGACATATATAAATAAGGAAAACAGATGATGTAGCAATGTGAGACTAAAAAACCGAGAAACTTCTTAAATAATGGCTGAAGCATTCGAAACAAAGGCTGAAATACAAGAAAAAAGTTGCATGAAAAAAAGAGGATGATGCTGTGATGTCACTGTCAAAAATAAGATAGATAGTGCAGCAATGAAGCTTCTGCAGTGTGAAACATAGGTTAGATAATAGGCTCAATGGACTTGTATGATTTGTTTTACTTTAGTAACAGTAGCTTAGTCCTCTGTTATCGTTGCCTTTATATTTCCTCAGTCATTCTATTGCAATTAAATTTTGCATCTACTAGAAGAGGTGCCCTAATTCTATTTTTCTCTATTCCTCTATCTTAACATGGTATCGAGGCAAGGCTGATTCATAGTGAGAAAAGCAAGAGCCAAAGGAGTAGAGAAAGAGTCATTCTTGTTCTCTCACCAAGTAGCTTATGGAAAATCATGCATTCCCATAATGTTGGACCAAACTTTGTTTTCAAAGGTTAGTGAGACTAGGTCTAGTGCGAAAGTTATTTGGTTTTGTGAACAAGAAAGTCTATAATCACCCAAACAAAGTCAAGCACAAATGCTCACGAATGAGAAGAGGTGAAGAAACCAAAATAGTCAATAATGTACAAGCTAAATAACTTTTGTACAAGACCTCCTTTCGCCAATCTGGCCATTGAAAACAAAGAAATCCCCAATGACAAACTTGTCAAAATCTCATTGATTTAATTGTAAATGAATGTGCAGTTGTAATTTTATACAAGCTACCTGGTGAGACAACGGGAATGACTCTTCCTAACTCTTTTCTCTCTTGCTCCTCACTCAAAATAAGAACTCTCTTATATGCAATACCAAACGCAAAGATAAAAGAGGAGAAGAATAGAGAAAAATAGTATTAGAGCACTTGTTCTATCAGATGCAAATCAGTTATACAATAGAATAACAAAGGGAATATAAAGGCAACAAATAAGAGGGGACTAAACTAACCTTTATAAAATAAGAGCATAAAAACCCATTGGGCCTTTTTCTAGCAATGCAGTATTAAGACAAACAGTAAGTCAAACCCCACAAATAGTAAGCATCTTCAATTGAATTAAAACAAAAGAGTGGGAGAGAGAAAAGTAGAACAGAAGGAGACATAATCCAATTAGGGAGTGTAAGAAATGGCCCTATGTTCCACATTGAAGAAACTTCCCAATGGTTTCTTTATCTAGAGTTTAAGAGCATTTCAAAATTAAATAAGTTTCTAAAGTTCTCCCAACAAAAATTCACAACTTTTAAGACCAGAAAATCTTAGAGAGAGCTTCTCAAATCACAGTGGCATAGTTTGGATATTAATCCCTTCCACAAATCCAACTTAGAGCATGTTCGGTTTTGCATCGGATCAAGTCAAACATGAATCTATGATCTACATCTATGTTGAAGCAACTTTGACTAACTTTCTATCTTTCTCTTATCATACAACTACAAGGGTGACCCAACGATAAAAAATGAATTATAATCACAAGGATAGTGACTTATGCTTCCTTGTGTAATCGACATTGAACAGTTCCTTAAAGCTAGAGCACTATACATTTACAGTGCATCCAGAGCTGATTTCAGCACCAATTAACCCAAACAGATATATCATATACAAAACACACATAAGTTCGAAAATTTTACATTGAACGATACCTTCATCTCTTTTTCTTGTATAAATTCCTCCTTAATCATTCACATAAGCCAACACCCAAAATAAAACCAAAACAAAGTTCTTCATTATGTAAAAGAAAGAAACTGTTGAAGTAATTCCTTAAGTGTTTGTAGAGTTATTTTTCGACCAGAATTGAGATTTCACTTTGATAATCTGCAAGTAAAAGGAATATAGTACCGTAAGCACCTAAGAAACTGCATCTAAGTTTTATCCTAATTGAAATTCACCAAATCCATTGCAGCCACAACAACCACACTAGACCAAGAAAAATATTAAACCATTAATTTCAACACCTATTAACCCGGAGAAAAATTCCTAGAAGAAATATCTTAAGAAGCAATCCTCAAAAAAAAAAAAAACAATTGAACGAGCACGGATCATATCCTCACAAATTAAAATTTCAGACAAACAAAACAAAGAATGAGAAACAAAACCAAAAGACAACTCCAAGGGAGAACACCACCAAAATCACCTAAAAAACTTAATCCTCATTTTATCCTAATCAAAACTCACAAATTCACTTGCATCAGGCAGAAAACAACTACCCCTGCCAACACCTACCACCCCAGATGCAAATCCCCCAAAAGAATACGTTTTACAAGCAATCCACAAAACCCAGTTGAAAGAAACACCTATTATCCCCTCAGAGAAATTAAAAATCCAAACAAACAAAACAAAGACTGAGAAACTAAACCCAAAAGAGGGTTAGAGAGTTAGTTAGTTAGTTACCACCGCAGCAAAAGCAACAGTAGCAGCAAGAGAGAACCAGCAACACCTCGTGAAAGAGGGAAGTTACCGATCCAGCTTCACAATTGAGGAGGTTGGGTGCTTGGCCGTTGCTATTATCTTGGTTATCATTTTCCAGAAGCTTCTGTTCCGTTGAGGATTGTTGGTCCTTCTCCATTTCCATTCTACGGTTGTTCCATTCGAGCCTTCTGAGGTAAGAAATTTTGAAGGAGTCTCGGAGATTCTTTGTTGGCCATAGATGCATCTCTGAATTGAAATAAATTAACAGGAAGTGGGGTTGTGAAATTTTGAGTCTTGCTATCTCCTATTGATTCTAAAGCTTGAGTTGAGGATAGAAGAATCAATTGAAGAACCAAAAGAAAGATAACAACAAAAATGTTGATATTTTGTTTATCCTACAGTCATATTCCAATGACAAAGATGTAGCTTTATTGTTTCTTTCTTTTTATAAATATTTATAGCTTTTAAAATATTCATATATAAACCAACTATTACATCACACGTCACAATTTATAATTTAATCGAGGTGTATAAAACATTTATTCTTATAAAAATTAAAATAAATAATTGATTTAAATGTGTTTTTAGTGTGATAAAATTAATGAATTAGATTTTACTGTGCCTCTTAAATTTTCTTTTTTGCTTTATTCTTCAAAAATTTCTGACGTGACACAATGTTATCATATACACTCAAAACAATTGAATTTAAATATAAGTTAATGATTACTTTTTTTGTCTTTATTAATTTTTATCTCCTTAATGAATTTCCATTCATATTTATTGTGTCAAAAGTAGCTTAGCTAGTGATTTAAACATTGAACTAAAATGTTTTTAAAGGTGAAAAACAGATTCAAAATAAAATAAAAACTGTATTCAGAAAGTTGAAAAAATATTAGAAATTGAAGGAAAATGAGATAATTTGTTAAGAATAAAAAATGTATTTAACTCAAAAAAATTATCATCTTTTAAACAAATGTTTTTTATATCTATTTTTGAAATAAATGACAAAAATAAAAATAACTGTTTCATAGAAAACAAAAAGCAAATAAATAAAAACTCACATAAAGTTAAACATGTAACATTCCAAAATATAATATAAAATTATAGATAATGATAATTTGACAACAATTTAACATCATTTATCTATTATTCTGTCATTGGTTCAAAATTACTCCACAATCAATAATAATAATCATAAACACCAACATGAACCAATCACAGAATGACACATAATTGGTGTTAAAATGTTGTCAAAAAAATATTGTCGAAGTATCATTATCCTAAAATTATATAATAGTTGTCAAACATTCAATAAAACAAGAAAACTAATAAGACAAGAATTATAAAGTTATTTACATTCATTTAACATAACCATAAAGTCAACTTTATATATATTACATCTTAACAAAACTATATACATATATCTAAAAGGCTTAATACCATTATTGGTCCCAATTTTGTTTGTTATGTTCAAAATGGTCCCAATTTTTTTTTTCTGTTCAATGTAGTCCTAAAGATCGTAATTTGTGTTCAATTTAGTCTTTTTCTGCAAACGTCGTTTAAATCATTAACGACCAATTGTCCAGCACTGCAATCAGTGAATGAGATGTCATGCTTTTGGCTAACATAGACAGACTCTTTCAGGCATAGTGAGGTGGATTTATGTAACGTGGCATAAGGTTTCTTTTAGTAAATAACATTTTTTTAAATTTTTAATTATTTATTAAATTCGAAATCCTAATTAATATATTAGGATTAAGCCCTAAAATTTAGTTTCCTAAATCAGATTTCCTAAATCCTAGTTATTTTCCTTAGCTTAAACTAATATGACAAACCCTAAATATTGGAATTACTCTTCTCAAATCAAAACTCAGATTGGGGGAGAGAGCTTTTGTTGTTCGTGGCTTTGTAGTGGTGAGAATTTGGGCTTGTAACTCGTAGTGTGGCTTTAGGCCCTTAGGGAAGAGCTCGTGACCCCGTTTGTTCGAAGGAGGCAACGACACTGTGAAGGTGCAATCTGGGTAGGGCTCCTTTGTTGCGCAAGGAGGCCCTTTTCTTCTTCCTCTTCCCCCTGTTTTAGTTCGACGATTTCAAAAAGCTCTCCTTCTCTCCGTTTTCGTTCGTGGCGCAAGGATGGAGGCTCCCTTCATCTTCTCCTTTTCTGGTTCGTCTTGCAGGAAGGGGAGGCGTTTTTCTTTGTTTCGTTTTTTTAGTTTTGGGGTTTTCTGTTTTTGTTTTCGATTTTGATATTGGGGGTTCAGTTTCTATGTGAAGAGCTCGTGATTCTGAGAGCATGAAGATGGTGAGGGCAACGGCGGCATCGCCTTTTTGAATTGGGTTTTCTCTATTCTTCCCCTACAGGTGGTGGCAAAATAGTTAGGGTTTCTGAAATTGCGAATTGGGAATTTAGGTTTTTTGATCTTGAAATTGGGATTTCTGGTTTGGGAATTCCCTTTAGGAGCTTTGTTCTTGTTTATGAAATTGTGTTTTCAAAGCTTTCACTATGTTCTCCATATCATAAATCCACCTCACGACGCCTTAAGGACTCCACGTTAGTCAATACATGATCATTTCACTCTCTAATTGCAGTGTTGGACATTTGGCCGTTAACGATTTAAACGACGTTTGAAAAAAGGACTAAATTGAACACAAATTACGATCTTTAGGACTACATTGAACAGAAAAAAAAATTAGGACCATTTCGAACATATCCAACCAAAATTGGGACCAATAATTGCTGATCCTCCCTTCAGGACCTGCTCCACAGACAACCTATCACCCTTTTCTCATACCTACCAAATGATCATAAACAAAAATGATGCACGAAACATACAAGCAAATCACAAACAAAAGAGTAAGCTAGAAAAACAACCATTTCATAATATATTTAAACATTCTAAACTTTCCACTCATGATACACATATCACATTAAACCAACCAAGCACTTTATGCATGATCGTACTTTGACTTGACTATTCGAATTATTATGAATATCAAGCTATGGCACTTTGTGCACTTGTTGTGGTGAAACAGCTGGCCCACCCAAGCTACTACACAATGTTAGTCCATTATCACTCGCCTTAGGCTAAGGTAAAACCCCTAAACTAGGACCTTTTGTTATTCTCATGACATGTCTCACCACTCTACTTGAGAATGGATGACCATTAGAATGTCAGGATGAACTCCAAGACTGAGCTTCCTATATCCATATTTATTATATTTGAAACCACACTGAGAAGTTTCTCCTTGGAACTCTCTTAGCCATGTTGCATTCACATGTAAACCACCATATAACAATGCCAAATAACACATGAATCAATAAACATCCATTACCAATCACAATAACATCTAAAAACCACTTAAGGAAGGAGAGGGATTTGGCGCTGAGAGGAACTAGCACTCAACGTCCTAACTTCTGTTTTCTGACGCTCAGTGCCATAAGTCTGACGATCAATGCCCTAACTTCTGTTTTCTGACGCTCAGCGCCATAAATACCCTAACTCAAACCAGCTTATTACCTTAAAAAAATATTGATCAGAAATGTTAATTCAAACACACTATTACACCAAAGTCAGTGCTATTTTTCACGTGTTCTTATGTTAGAGTTCATTTTAAAATATTTATAGTCATAATTTTGATAAATTAAAGAATTGAAAGTAAAAATGACAACTACATTAAGGAACTTTTATTAAATGTACTTTTAGAAGAAAAAAAACATTGCAAAAATTATTAAGAATACCTATTCTGTAAATAAAACATTATAATATTGAATGATTTGTTCTAAAATACATTAAAAAAATATAAAATACTTTATAAAATTTGATTGATCTATAATATTTATTATGTAAATCATACTTTCGAAATGTACAATTAGACAATGGAAGATAGTTTAAATTTTTTGGTCTCCTAGTTTGGGTCCAAAAGCAAGTGTCTTGGAGGTGGCAGCTTCTCCCTGCATCTTTCATAAGTCCAATTTGGATCTCCATAAATTTGAAATATAAAATATGAGATATAAAAAATTATATTTTGAATTATATATTTCAAAATACAAAATGAAAAGTATATTTCAAAATATATAATATAATATAAAAAACATATTTCGACTTGTAAACTTAAAATACAAATGTATTTTGAATTCTATAATTTAAAATACAATTTTATATTTTAAATTTTATATTCCTAAATAAAAAATTATATTGAGAATTATATATTTTAAGATTTAAAATAAAATAAAAATATATTCTAAATTATATAATTAAAAATATAAAATATTGTTAGTGAGGAAGAAGTAGGTTTGTTAATAGGGTCATATTTGGTAATTACCAAAATAGGGTTATTTGATGATTATTATAGGATGTAGGTTGATATATAGGGTGGGGGTATGTATGGAAAGTAGAAATTGACACCCAACAAGTGGAACTTTCTATTAAAACCTATTTAAAATATGAAGGTTGTTGGGATGAAGTTATTATGATGTTGAAATAGGTTGTTGGAATGAAGTTATGATGATATTGAAACAAAGTTAGCAAAAAGAATTAACAAGTTCAACATATTAAAATTATAAAACAAAGTCAATTAAAAGACAAAATTTGCTATTTTTTCCTACATTAGCATTAGAATATTATTGTATAAATAAAATAATACCAGCATATCATGGCATATTATATTACTATAAAGTATTAAAATGTGTTCAATTATATTTTTATTAAACCATTTTGACAATTATTCCTTTAGATGAAAATGTAATTGGTTTCCGAAAAGGAAGAAAATAAAAANGTTAGTTAGTTACCACCGCAGCAAAAGCAACAGTAGCAGCAAGAGAGAACCAGCAACACCTCGTGAAAGAGGGAAGTTACCGATCCAGCTTCACAATTGAGGAGGTTGGGTGCTTGGCCGTTGCTATTATCTTGGTTATCATTTTCCAGAAGCTTCTGTTCCGTTGAGGATTGTTGGTCCTTCTCCATTTCCATTCTACGGTTGTTCCATTCGAGCCTTCTGAGGTAAGAAATTTTGAAGGAGTCTCGGAGATTCTTTGTTGGCCATAGATGCATCTCTGAATTGAAATAAATTAACAGGAAGTGGGGTTGTGAAATTTTGAGTCTTGCTATCTCCTATTGATTCTAAAGCTTGAGTTGAGGATAGAAGAATCAATTGAAGAACCAAAAGAAAGATAACAACAAAAATGTTGATATTTTGTTTATCCTACAGTCATATTCCAATGACAAAGATGTAGCTTTATTGTTTCTTTCTTTTTATAAATATTTATAGCTTTTAAAATATTCATATATAAACCAACTATTACATCACACGTCACAATTTATAATTTAATCGAGGTGTATAAAACATTTATTCTTATAAAAATTAAAATAAATAATTGATTTAAATGTGTTTTTAGTGTGATAAAATTAATGAAT